TTGTCTTGGTCGTTGAGAAGGCGCGTTTCTAACTTCTTGAAATATTGAGCGGCAGCAAAGAAACTGTTGGGAAGGCAAGCGTTCCGTTTCCACAAAATTCCAACCTCGTACCGTCCTTACGTGTAGGTGATGGTGGTTTTTAGTCTTCAGAGGGAGTTACCTCCGGAGAGGTTTCCTTACGTTTCCATTATCCGAGTGGTCGCTAGTAGTTCCAAAAGTTCTGGGTCTTCGTTGATTTCGTTGACGTGAGAAATGTATGCTTGGAACACAGAAGTACCGAGTATGTCGGCTGTTGAACCAACAATGAACCAACCAAGAGGTGTGCAAAATGCACGTGTTGAGTTTTCGGGTCTTTTTAATGTTGCTTGAGATGTAACAAAGTCAATGTTGTCGGTTCCAATGAGAATTGAAACTTGGTTGATGTCGATATCCTGAAAATGGATTTTTTTTAGATGATTGTTATTAATGCAGAGGTTTTTGAATTGCATAAATTCTAAGTTTAGCTTGTCAAGCGCGTAAGCAAGTTTGAATTGAAATTAGTCGCTGAAGTATCTGAACGGGTGGAATCTCTATTCAACAGATCGTGATTTGAATTGTATCGAATCGTGAGATCAATCGATGAAAATTCTTTGGTTTCGAGGCTTTTGTTTTACTAGAGAGAGTTGGATAGCTTCTAATGTCAAGAAAGGCACATGCGTTAATAAACATGTGTTTGTTGAGGATAATAACAGGTACACAGAGCAGTTTCTGCAGTCGGTTGTCTGAATTGTGTGGTCTGTCTGAAGCTAGTTGCTGCTGTAAGGAAAAAAATAGAGAGTTATTACTGTTGTGCTGTTCTTGAATGCTCCTATGATGTTTTCTGCTGTAAATGATGCTTGTTCGCTTCAAAATGCCATCCTTTACCGTGTTTTGTCCAGGTTAATTTAAAAAAAAATAAAATTTTACATGGGTGAGCTTTCCCTTGGCTAAATGAAGAAGTGAAGTTATGCTGGTGTACATAGTCACAAGCTAAGGCGAATTGTCTGAGCCAATGACCAAAGTTGATAAGGCTGGGCTATTAAATGCTGTTGCTGATGATGTGTTGGATCCACTGTAGTCGCTAGGAGTGTTGAAATTTAATGGCCGCAAACTGCACGTAAATGGTGGAGTTCATGTCGTTCGTAAATTCAAGTCGTTCGTGATTCCAAGTCGTTCGTGAATTCAGGTGATTCGCGAATCCAATTGCAAACGAAAGTCGAAAATCCCGAAAACGTTTGCTAATGTTGCGTTGAACGCATGCGGAATTTTTGTAGTTTGTTGACTTTGTTGTTGACAAACATGTCCGGTCTTCCAAATCGTCAGTCGAGTGCTTGAAGAGCAGTTGCATACATCGCGCTGTTGCATGAGTATCCGGCGATATCTTGATGAGAGCGGCCTATTATCAATATCTGCAGGTGTGTTACTTTTTCGGCGTCAGAGATTGGTTGACTGTGAACAGTAGCTTGCAATAAACCGTAATCTCATATTCCATTTCATCGAATCAATTTCGTACTTGTCATATTTGATCTCCGGTAGTCGTGATGTATGTGTAATTGTTGAAAATTAAACGGGCGCAGTGTAAGCTGCTGTGTTGATATGAGTCTGAGGCGTTAAATTGGTCGGACAAAACGGTAATGCGGCAAAACTATTCAGTTGCTGTTGATTGTTTGACAATTTTTGATTGTTGGCGATTGATGTAGACATATTTGCTGCTGAAAACGAGGGTTGTTGCAATTTAGTCGAAGAGACTGTTGTTGAGTTACCGCTGATTTCGATAAGGGCGCTTGGATTGCTAGAAGCAGTGTGAACAAAGGGTGCACTTTGGTCGTTTCATTGGGCTCTGCTGATTGCTGAAGATTATGTGTCTGTTGCAATGATATTTCGTTTGAGTAGTTTTCTGTATTCATTGACAATGTCGTCTAATTTGTCTTCAGTTCCAATGAAGGTTAAGATGGGGTCATCTGGCTGTGAGTCTTCGGATGATCGATTTGGTGAGTCGTCGGTTACTCAGGCTGCGTAACCATGAAAATAAATCTACTAAGTTTTATAATTATTTCCCATTATCTTTCATAACTGTGAAAATAAATCTACTAAGTTTTATAATTTTTTCCCAACATCTTTCAAAGAAGTTTAGGGTCGTGATATAAATTTTTACAATCTTTGACTATTGAAACACCGCTTATAAAAAAAACTATTGATATTTTTGAGTTGTCGCGACAAAAAATTTTGTTCTAGTAGCATCGAGCGGTGAGCCGATAGATTTTTACAAAATAGCTTGGAACCTTCCCAATTTTGGAAAAATTGGACTTGACAACACTTGTTTATTGGATTTCTCAGTCTAGAATTTCCAAACTGCATAATCTATAGCAATGTTTTTTTTCCGACTGAAGCTCTTTTCATTCTGTTTTTTGCCCTGACTTAATAAAAGAAAGAGAAAAAAATTTCGGTTAATGTATTTTAAACTCGAGAATCACTATTTTTTTGGTACCAGTAGAACCGAAATTTACCCAGCTTACACGTGGATTAATTATTTTTTTGAATTTTTGACAAGAGAATAAGCTTTTAAAATTTTTTAACAAATGAGGATGATTTCGTGGTAGATCTTTCGCAGGCCAGAAAAAAGCTTGGCTGATAGCTTTTAGACCCCTACGAAAGATATTAATCGTCAATTCTGAGCTGTTTTGAACAAAGTTGAAAGGTTATTACGCAAGCCTTTTATTTGGGATCCAGAGCGGTACGGTAACAACAACAACACTCTTCCCTGTTTATTTATTTTAACAACCAGGACTATAAGACCGCACCCGGAAGCACCCCAGAATCATCAAACTCCAAAAATTCCTTATTTCGCCAATCCGCAAGAACCCTTAATTGGCCAACCAGGAAGGGTCCTTGCTTTGCCAATCGGGAAGATCCTTCTTTCGTCAATCTGAAAGAGTCCTTAATTTGTCGATCCGGAGGGGTCCCAATCAGGAAGGGTCCTTACTTTGTCAATCCTGAGGGATCCCTAACAAACCACCGACCGTACCCGAAAAGATCGCCATTCAACTGACATTACTCGTTTGAAAAAAATTTTAAAAAATCTTGACAGTTATGATAACGTTTTCTTGCTGTAAAACCGAGACTTCTGAATGGCCACTCATTTCAGAAAAATTTTTCTCAAGGACAAGAAAGCATGACTTTCTCAAGATTGTCAAAAATTAGAAAGTGTTTGAGAGCTTAGAGCTTTAAATTTGATTGCGAGATTTCCCGAGCTTGGACCATGTAAAGATCCTCCCCACCCCTCCAACCGAAGTCCTTTAGAGGAGAGGATGTATGTTAACTTGGTTCTGAGTTCAAACTTTCAGCCAATCAGAATAGAGAAATTAACATGTAGCGCTTTGTAAATTTATTTTAAACTGAGCACTGGGGTCGATGATCTTCACTGGGAACTGTTTTTTTTGGGAAGGGGTGATAACTTGGTCCCCGGGCCTTCCCCGGAATGTTTAAGCAAAAAAAAATCATTTTTCTCAGGAAATTGGTTTTTTTTGTTGTACTTACCCTCATTTAAGAAAAGCGAAAAAAAATCAACTATAATGGATTTGTGTGGTTTATAATGTTATCAAAATGAATGATTCACATTTTGAACTCAGACAACAATATTGAATAAAAAATTGATTTTGATTTTTTTTTATCAATATTAAATTTTTGCAATGCGGGTTTACGGCCTAATTGATTTCTAAACCTAACCCCTCTGACGTTTGCCCCTTTGCGCCCTTGCCCCCATTGTCTCCTTTGTCCCAGTACAACCCCACAACCCAACCCCACCCCCCCCCCCCCACTCCAACGTTTGCCCCTTCGCCCCCTTTGTCGTACCTGAAAAACCACCCCCACCCATCTACAAATTACAATTTTATCCCCCCCAAAGTCACTAAATAGTTTGAGAAAATTGTTGAAAACGAACAAAATTGAGAAATAGAGCAAAATAAATTAATACAAAAATCAAAATTGCGCAAAAAAAATCAAAATTGAACAACAATTAACCAACTTTAGTTTAAAACGTAGAAAGACAAGACTTTATGTACTTTGGAATTCTCATCTCAGCAAAAAAAAAAGTGGAAAAAAAGATGGATTATAATGGAGTTTTTTGTCTTTATCTATAAAACTGAAAAATATTCAATTATTAAGGATTTGCAATGGTTTTTAATTAGGGCAGGCCTGTGAAATGCATAGATGTTCTTTTCCGGGCCGGAATTGTCCACATCTACAGCTCCCAGGCATTTCTCGATCCTTTTCAGCAAAAAAAACGTCAATGATTCAAAAATTGATTTTCCCTAAATGCATATTTTGCAACTCAAATTTTGAAAATTTCAAAATTGAAACAAACGTGGGCATATACATTTGTGTCCTAGACAATTGTTTCCCCAGACAAAATATTCCAAAAAATTAAAATTTTCCGAAGCATTTGTGTCCGAGACAAAAATTACTTAATTTTGGTTCTGTCAATTTGTTCAAACTTTGGTTGTTTTTTAATTGGCGAGCCATGTTCTCCAATTGTTTATCTTCATGAACTGACAACAAAACTACCTGTTGGAGCTTAACAAGTTTGGGACACAAATGACTGATAATGTTGTCTGCGTTTTTTAGGTCTTTTGGACAATTTTGTTCGGGACGCAAATGTTTGGGACACAAATGTCTGGACACGGCCTGCCTATTAGTTTTTGGTAATTGCTTAGCTAGGTGATCATTCAATTGAATAGAAAATTAGCCTCAGTTGGTCGTTTGCCTTTAATTATTTAAAAAAAAACGGTTTGGTCGGTCCACTTTTCAAACCTTGTAGTTTTTGTTGAAAATCGATACAATCTTGTACTTTTATTTGAATATTGACTTTATGAGGTTCAAATAGCTGTGCAATCGATCTTCTAAATGATATTCAAAACGTCATAAACTCAATTTTTTTCTAAACCTGATCCGCTAGCTGTGGGTATGTTGGACATCAAAATTAGAGAACAGATAAAGTTTCTAATCATTAATGTCAAGCTGCAACATGGTCTACATACAGTCATACAGAAACAAAAACAACTTGAAACTGATTTCAATTCATCTCTATTTCTCTACGCACAAGTTTTCATATTCGTCATCAAGCCTGGTTCCTTCTTCTGGACACATTCTATGCGGATCGTATGTCTGGATGGTATCAAACGGCGTCTCTCCCCACCAATTTCCAGCTATGTTGTAGTGGCAGACAAAGTTGGTCCAAATGCGTGTCTTCCCCTTTTTCTTCCAGGTACTCACACACTTCTCCTGTGCACAGCCTATGTACTTAGTGTCCGCCCATAGCATTTGGGTTAGATGAAGACACGCCCATGAAGCTAAAACTCATTTTAATTTAACCTTACCCAGCTTCGCTTTCTTAAAAAGCTTTTGAAAGTGCGCTCTCTAGGTACAAAGAAACTGTGCGAGTTTCATGGTTAGCAAAAACCGAATTGAGAAAAATTCTACTCTCGTTTCGACCAAATGAGTTATCTAGCCAAAACACAAGTCAATTATTTTTAACGATCGCAAAACTCAATCATTAAACAATGAAATATTATATGCTGACCAATTTTAAGTTTATTGAGGATGAAAAACAGGCACGACAGTTTTTTCAAACGCTCCCTTGAGCAAAATTGATAGTTCCGCATGATTTCTTGCAAATAAAAAACACAAGAAATTTCATCGGAATCCAAGCCGACAAAAATGACCACGAAAAAAACGTCCGGCAGATTTGACCTCCTCCCCTTCCACCCTTTGGCACGCTTTCAGCTTAGCAGTTACTTTCCTTCTTTCAAGACTAATTACGAATACTAAACCATTCAAAATGAAACATAGCAAAACATATATGTAATGTACCAAGCTAGCTCATATCGAAACATTCAAATATTCGTCGCAAGGGAATTTATCGTACGACTCTTCTCTCTGCTGCTTCCTTGTCTATGTGAATGATGAATATAACTACGATTAGTATAGTCACGAATGATTATTATACTCACGACTACACGTGTGTTGTCGCCAGCTGTACTGTTTGATCTCCCTGTACCACTTCAGCACTATCCCTTCCACACGCATGTTCACACCCTGGAAGCCACTTGCGAATGCCAGATTCTCCCCTACCGCTCCTTTTTCCTCCTCCACTTGTGCAAAGAGAGTCCCCCTGTCGGGCAAGTGGCTCTTCATGCACGCACTCGCAACCTATCATCGTAAGAACGTTGAACATCTGCCTGTGATGAAGAGTACTATATTTGTATGCTGATTTGTTTGTTCACTACCTGGTTGTTCCGACCATAAACGGGGAGGAACTTTATATTCGGGTGTGTTTTTGATTTTTCTTTTTTTTTGTTTTCCGCGCAAAATAAGGTATCACAAATAATTGTCGTGATGGGTCGAGTGATATATTATATTAAAGCCCTTACAGTCGTGATTCGCACAACATTAAAAAAGAATTCAAAATTAGAGCGAATAAAGCGAGCGAGCAGGCTTAAAATCAGCGGCGGATTTAGGGGGAAGGTGGGAGGGGGCGCTCAGGTATTCGACAATCTCTACTAAACAATATATACTAATTTTGAGGGGGGCGCCTTGGGAGAGCTCGGAAATTTTAGTGCTTTGGGAGAGCTCGGATTTTTTGGCCTCTTTTAGTGCTTTGGGAGAGCTCAGAATTTTTGGCCTCTTTTAGTGCTTTGGGAGAGCTCGGAAAATCAATTTGGTCTGCTTAAAAAATAGGTCGACAAAATTTTCGAAATTATTATTTACTGGTTACATTTAGAAGCTATTAATCTTAAAAGTGCGACATTCTGTAACATCCCTAGTTGGCGAAAATGGCCAATCTTGTAAAATTTTGTAAGATTCCTGCAAGATTCTGGCAGAAACCTGCATTCTCTTGTATGATTCTTACAATATCTCACAAGATACCCCAGTCAAAACTAATCAATCTCGCAAAAATCTTGTAAGATCTTACAAGATTTTTGCATGATTGAATAATTTTGAATGGGGTATCTTCAAATGGGTATCTAGTTCAAGGAACCAGTTCGTTAAATAGTAAAAAAAAATTTCATGCTTTTATTCACATGTTCAGTCTGCAACGTAAATTTTTCTCCGGCTCTAAAACCACAAAATCCACTCCCTTGGACTGCTCAAACAAATTATTGGGTCTCAAGTTAATGAGTTCTGGCTAGTGCAAAATATATGATTGGCCATCTTCACCAACTAGGGAAGTGGCAGTTTATAACAAGGCATTGGCAAGTAACAATTGCTCTCTCCGCTGCGCTTACATTCGGCATCAGAGGATTAGTGCGCGTGAATCGTGGTCTGCCGCTCAAATGCTGTCACTGGTCCAAATTATCATTTGGACTTGTCACCTGGTCCAAACTTGGTCCAAATTATTCAGGGTGAGTTGTACAGCTTAAGCTGGTTTGAATGAGTTACACTTGACGTTTTCAAATATTTGTAGTTTTCGAGACGAGCGATCACCTCGTGCCTCTTATGTCGTATAATGCACGGTTATTTGAACATATTATGGGCGCTCGGGTTGAAATGACGTTCGAAAACGTCTCAGATTGCCCAACTTGTTTCATTTTGCTCAACTTTGGGCAAAAATCTCGACTTGGGTGGATTTGATAATTCCTATAACTCTAATTCGGATAAAGCTTGAGAATGCTTACTGTTTTCTTTTACCGCCAGAGGCAGGATTTTTTTCCGACGGATACTGGAATTTTTTAATGAAGAAGGGAGATTTCAATAAAATTGACATATTTTCAACCGGCATTTTTGAAAATGGCTCCTTTTTTCAAGTGATACTTTATCAAGTGATGACCAACGTGAATCCAGTTTTTTGAAATCAATTACGAAGTTGAATCTTGTTTTACTGAAAGATATTTTTTTTACAGCAAGACGTATTATTAACAGACACTCCTTCTTTGCGTAATAACTTCGAAATAAACCAAAGCTTCTCAGATCATCCTGCACTTTCCTGTTAAATAGCATTTGAAACGGAACAGATAAATCTAAACCTTTCTTGTATCCGTTAAGTAGACTCCAAATCATTGCGTTTCTTTTTAATAAACAACAGACTTCATTGCTCGAATGATGCAATTAGAATGCTTGAAACGTTCTATGGGTTGTATTATCAAGCCGTTAACAAGTATATTCCACAAAAGACAATTCGTTGCTCGAAAGCCCCCCAATGGATGTCATCACACTCAATAAAGACTGAAAATTGTCTTCAGACGGCATTGAAACATAATTATTCTGACGAGAAAATTAAATGCTGCACGAAAGAGTTGAAAAGTTCTTTAGAACTAGACAAAGCCGTTTACTTTGAGTCAAGGAAAGATTGCGATTTAAAAATGACTTACAAGTATCTCAGATTGATAAATGGAACGGCAAATGTACCCAGAAAAATGTCATTCAAAAATACCAGTTTATGCTCTAATTTTACAATCTGTGAAGCTTTTAACGAGTTTTTTTGCATCTCTGTACAAAATACACAACAAACCAGTGAATGTTCCAAGCGATATTTTTTTCCAGGAATATACTTATCGGTATTGCGAAATTCTTAACGAATTGAGCTAATGCAAATCAGGAACAAATTCAGTTGATGGTATATCTCCTACCATATTAATTTTTGTTTTACAGTTCTCTTTGAATGATATTGTTGAACTGTTTAATTGCATAGTCAATAAGAAACTGTTTCCAGATATCTGGAAAATAGCACACATTAATCTTTTACACGAAAAAAGCTTCTCGTATGAACATTGAGAATTACAGGTCCATTTCAATACTTCCTGCACTCGCCCTAAAACCACATGAAATACTTCATTGAACTGCTCCAATTCTTGGGTCTCATGTTAACGGGTTATGGCTAGAGCCAATTACATGATTGGCCATCTTCACCAACTAGTGAAGTGGCAGTTTATAACAAGGCATTGGCAAGTAACAATTGCTCTCTCCGCTGCGCTTACATTCGGCATCAGAGGATTAGTGCGCGCGAATCGTGGTCTGCCGTTTAAATACTGTCACTGGTCCAAATTATTACTTGGACTTGTCACCTGGCCAAACTTGGTCCAAATTATCCAGGGCGAGTTGTATTACTTGTTTGAATAAGTTCAACTTGAAGTTATCAAAGACTTGTAGTTTTTGACGAGTGGTCGCCTCGTGCTTCTTATGTCGTATCATCGATGGCTATTTGAACATATTCTGGGTGAAATCCACCTAAGTGCAAAAATCTCCACTTAGGTGGATTTGATAAATGCTATACCTCTAATTCGGATAACGCTTGAGAATGCCTTATGTTTTCTTTTATCGCCAGAGACAGCATTTTTTCTGACGGATACTGGAATTCTTTTAATGAAAACGGGAGATTTCAATAAGTTTGACGACATTTTTTCAAGCGGCATTTTCGAAATTGGTTCTTTTTTTCTCTGCCACACAATACCAATCTTAATCTTACTCTTAGATCTAGCGTATACTGGTATTTGCGAGTTAGATATCAGGAAATATCATGAAGGAGAACAATTGTTTTCTAAGTTATATATTCATTTTTGTTCTGTTGCTGAAACTATGAATAGTTTCAGCGTTACAAATAATTGTACGTGTTAGTTAAGGATCATGATTGGTTAGTTAGAAAAATTTTATAGAGATAGTTTCATCAGTTTTATAATTGGATATGAATACTAGTTTTAAACTGCTTCCATTAAAGTTGAACTCAAGAAATTGATATATTTTGGATGATATATTTGTTTATTGAAAAGAAATATAAAAACAGGCAACACTCCATGACTTACTCCTTTTTTGCATCTACTCCATGAAATGAACAGTTATCTGCAATCGATGATTCTCAACAGCCATAAACTTTTCATAAACAGCAGAAAAAATAACAAACAGAAAACGAAATAGTAACATCATGCGAATAAAAAAATTACCAAAACGTTCAAAGGTTAGACTTGAAAGAAAAGTAATCAAGACGGTCAAATGATCTTGGCTCGGTTGTTTTTTTTTTAATTTTAAATTACTAGAAGTAAAATCTCGACGACTAGATCTGGAAAATAAGAGCGAGAATAAAACCAATATCAGACTGAAGAGTTGCATGAAACTATCCAAATGAAAAAAAATAGTTTAACAAACGGACGGCGCACCTGATTCGAAATTACTCTATGAGTTGTTGAACATCGCGTCAACTCTTTATTAAATTTTTTTTCTAGGTGAACACTAAAAATCAATAGTAAACACACATCGGCCAATTGTTTTTCTTGCATTTATGAAATTTAAATGACTGAAAAAGGCTGCCGTTTGACCGTAAATACTTTGTTGACTTGGTTTATAAGCGATCAACAGCATTTTTGACATCGGTTGGCTTAACGGAAGCAGTGACCGGTTCTACACAATCCGTAAGATTTTCTAGGGTTAATGGTTTGTTTGTGTACATCTCGGACAGTGTCCGGCTCCGAAACCTGAAATCGGAGATCGAAATTTCAGAAATTGCGGGGCCTTGGTTTTTGAAGGGAACTTTGATCTCAGAATATTTTTAAAAGCTATCGATTGCATCATCGCGTTATTTTGTCATTAATTACCCGATTATATCATTGCGTTATCTTCTCATTAATTACCCGATTATACTATTTTGTTCCCGTACCCAGGGGATTTTCTGTGCAAGATCTGAAATTCTTTATTTCTTACATAAGTTGATTCTCAGATCTAAAATTCTTTGTTTCAGATCTTGTTAAGAATTTACAAATTTCAGATCTGAAATTTGGATCTGAAATGGAAAGTTTCAGATCTGAAATAACCTTGAAAAACAAAATTTCAGATCTGAAACCAGATCTTAGAAATCCTTTGTTAAATTAAAATTTATGCATTCCGCGCAAAAAATGTAGTTTTTATTTTTTGATGTTTCTGCAATACACGATTATGGTAAGATTAACTAGCGGTCATAAAAACTTCCAAACATTTTCACAAACAGGTTTTTTCCGAACTAAATTTATTGTTCAACAATTTTTTGTTCAACTGTTTTTTTATTGTTCAACTGTTAAAAATAATTCAAAAACTGTTAGAAACTCTGTAACATTGTTGATTTTCATTCGCAACTTATGAGTTTTCAATGTTTATCTCATGCTTGGGGAAACATACTTCGCCAGTCTCGTACTTGAGAGTATGCTGAGCACCTGCTAGTAGCTAGCAGAAGCTATAACAATCAAAAATAGCAAAAGTTGAGTCCGAAGCATTATTTTTCTCAGAACTGAAATAACCAAGAAAAACTTAATATTAGATCTAAAATAGGTTTTTCAGATCTGAAATAACCAAGAAAAAGAAAATTTCAGAATGGAAATTAGATCTGAAATAACGAATAATCAAAGAATCCAAGCGTTATTTGAACATTTCACAGCCTTTTTCAAATTTGAAATTTAGATCTGAAAAAGGTTATTTTAGATCTGTTTTAGAAAATTTACTGGGTACGGGTTATCTTGTCATTAATTAACATATTTCGATGTGCTACTTGCTGAGTACTCTCAATATTTTGATGCCCAAGTTGAGCAAGATTAAGACCGGTATCAGACTGAAGATTTGCACGAAACTATCCAGCTGAAAAAAAAATAGTTTAACCAACGGACGGCGCATCTGATCCGAATTTACTCTATGAGTTGTTGAACTGCGCGTCAACTCTTTATTAATTTTATTTTCTAGGTGAACACTTAAACACAACAGTAAACATACATCGGCCATTTGTTTTTCTTGCATTTAGACATAGAATGACTTAAAAATGCTGCCGTTTGACCGTAAATACTTTGTTGACTTGGTTTATAAGCGATCAACAGCACTTTTGACATCGGTTGGCTTAACGGAAGCAGTGACAGGTTCTACACAGTCCGTAAGACTTTCTAGGTTTAATGGTTTGTTTCTGTATATCTCGGACAGTGTCCAACTCCAAAACTTGAAATCGGAGATCGAAATTTCAGAAGTTGCGGGTGCTTGGTTTTTGGAGAAAACTTTGGTCTCAGAATATTCACAAAAACTACCGATTGCATCATTGCGTTATCTTGTCATTATTTACCCGATTTTATCATTGCGTGTTCTTCTCAATAATTACCCGATTATACCATTGCGTTATCTTCTCATTAATTACCCGATTATACCATTGCGTTCCCGTACCCAGGGGACTTTCTGTGCAAGATCTGAAATTCTTTCTTTCTTACATAAGTTGATTCTCAGATCTGAAATTCTTTGTTTCACATCTTGATAAGAATTTACAAGTTTCAGATCTGAAATTTGGATCTGAAATAGAAAGTTTGAGATCTGAAATAACCTTGAAAAACAAAGTTTTAGATCTGAAATCAGGTCTTATAAATCTTTTGTTAAATTATAGTTTAAGCATTTCGAGCAAAAAATGGAGTTTTTATTTTTTGATGTTTCGACAATACACAATTATGTTAAGATTAAATCTTGGTCAGAAAAGTTTCCAAACATTTTCACAAACAGGTTTTTCGAACTAAATTTCTTGCTCAACTGTGTTAAAAAGATTTCAAAAACTGTGAGAAACTCTGTAAAATTGTTGATTTTCATTCGCAACTTATGGGTTTTCAATGTTTATCTCATGCTTGAGGAAACATACTTTGCCAGTCTCGTACTTGAGACTATGCTGAGCACCTGCTAGTAGCTAGCAGAAGCTATAACAATCAAAAATAGCAAAAATTGAGTCCGAAGCATCATTTTTCTCAGATCTGAAATAACCAAGAAAAACTTGATATTAGATCTGAAATAGGTTTTTCAGATCTGAAATAACCAAGAGAAAGAAAATTTGAGAATGGAAATTAGATCTGAAATAACGAATCCCTGAAGTATCCTAGCGTTATTTAAACATTTCACAACCTTTTTCAAATCTGAAATTTAGATCTGAAAAAGGTTATTTCATATCTGTTTTAGAAAATTTACTGGGTAAGGGTTATCTTTTCAATAATTAACAAATTTCTATTTGCTTCTTGTTGAGTACTCTCAAATTTATTGATGCTTAAGTTGAGCAAGAATAAGACCGGTATCAGACTGAAGAGTTGCACAAAATTATCCAGTTGAAAAAAAAATAGTTTAACAAACGGACGGCGCACCTGATCCGAATTTACTCTATGAGTTGTTGAACTGCGCGTCAACTCCTTATTAAAATTTTTTCCTAAGTGAACACTTAAACTCAATAGAAAGCACACATCGGCCATTTGTTCTTCTTTTGCATTTATGACATAGAAATGACTGAAAAATGCTGCCGTTTGACCGTAAATACTTTGTTGACTTGGTTTATAAGCGATCAACAGCCTTTTTGACATCGGTTGGCTTAACGGAAGCAGTGACAGGCTCTACACAATCCGTAAGTGTTTCTAGGGTTAATGGTTTGTTTCGGTATATCTTGGACAGTGTCCAAATCCGAAACCTGAAATCGGAGATCGAAATTTCAGAAATTGCGGGGCCTTGGTTTTTGGAGGGAACTTTGATCTCAAAATATTTACAAAAACTATCGATTGCATCATTGCGTTATCTTGTCATTAATTGCCCAATTTTATCAATGCGTTATCTTTTCATTAATTACCCGATTTTACCATTGCGTTCCCGTACCCAGTGTCATTTCTGTCCAAGGTCGGAAACATACTTCGCCAGTCTCGTACATGAGACTGTGCTGAGCACCTGCTAGTAGCTAGCAGAAGCTATAACAATCAAAAATAGCAAACATTGAGTCTGAAGCATTATTTTTTTCAGATCTGAAATAACCAAGAAAAACTTAATATTAGATCTGAAATAGGTTTTTTCAGATCTGAAATAACCAAGAAAAAGAAAATTTCAGACCTGAAATTAGATCTGAAGTAACGAATCCTTAAAGTATCCAAGCGTTATTTAAACATTTCACAACCTCTTTCAAATCTGAAATTTAGATCTGAAAAAGGTTATTTCAGATCTGTCTTAGAACATTTATTGGGTACGGGTTATCTTCTCATTAATTAACATATTTCGATGTGCTACTTGCTGAGTACTCTCAATATTATTGAAGCTTAAGTTAATTATTAAAAGTTTGATTTTGCATCTGGTCTCATGTAATGCCGCACCGGTAGATTTCATTTCGTGCTTCAATGCTCGGAATTTAAAATGTACAAAAGGGGAGGGGGGAGATTCGTTAAAAGGTACCATAGGGGGTATAGTTAACAAGATCCCTTTTGTATACGCTGCAACCAATCTCTTGCCCTTCTATAAAAACTGATTCAACGGTTAAGCATATGTGATTTTTCAGTCTTTTCTGTTGCACGGCCCAAGAAGCCATATTGTTTTTTGTTACGACTTTCGTAACGAAAGTAACGGAATATTTGTGCTCGGGTGGGTTTTTTTCTTCAGACAAATTTCGAATTTTTAACTAGCCCTTTTTGTCGGAATTTTTTTATATCATTCGAAAGGTATTGTTGTCTTGAGCTCAAATTTGAAAAAATATTTCACCTGTGAGGTTACGGGGGTTTACGGGGGTTTAAAGATTGCCATTTTGGCCAATTTAGGACAATTAACGCGCGATATATTCCGCACTATTAACGCGTAAGCAGAGAGTTAATCCGTGTTAGAAATAATCCGTGTGGGAGAATAATTTTCATAAAAAAATTTCAAAATATACAAAAAAAAAACTTTTTCATTTTGTTTTATTTCATTTAATTTTTTTTTGCTATTAGTGCTCCATAAACCTTAAAAAGCAGTCGGAACATTCAGGGCCTCGCCCTGATACGTGCAGTCTTGTTTTTTTTTCTTCAGACAAATTTCGACTTTTTAACTAGCCATTTTTGACGGATATTTTTTTATTTCGTTCAAAAGTTATTGTTGTCCTGAGCTTAAATTTGAAAAGATATTTTACCGGTGATCATTTTTGGTAAAGTTACGGGGGTTTAAATATTGCCATTTTGGCCAATTTGGGACAGTTAAAGCGCGATATATTTCGCGCTATTAACGCGTGAGCGGAGACTTAATCCGTTTTAAAAATCGTTCCAAATTGGTTGAAAGAAGTTTATTTGCCGCAATTGTTTTGTTAAAAGGAGCGAAATTTATCCTTTTGTACTTTATATGGCGTCTGGGGGATGATTTTCACAAAAAAAAGTCTCAAATTAAAAAAAAATTCATTTATTTTATTACAATTATTTTTTTATGTTATTGCTGCTCCATAGACCTTAAAAGATAGTCAGAACATTCAGGGCTTCGCCCTGATACGAGCAGTCTTGTTGAGTTTTTGCTTTTAATGAAAATCTTTCGTGTGAATCAGTTTTAGTCAATCAGTATTGAGCATTTTGATTCGTTTTTCAAAATAACAAAACGAGCAGTTTTGGGCCATATAACAGAAAAGACCCAGAATTTTGCACCTAGTATCGAATATGCCCTTTTTCTAAAGTCAAAATGGGGAACCCTCAAAGAGATCCGATCTTTTTTGTGTTGCTCTGAGTAGAACTCAGGTGGCAAACCTGTTTGGCGGTGAGTGCCAGCTGTTCAATCCATTCTAGTTTGTTCATGCCCACTGGGTATCCACTGAAGTTCTCCCTGTTCCGGTCCCTCCACTTGAGCCCATTTCGCCACCTGTTGTGGGCGTTCAGTACTTTTTTCCTCTGTTGATATGTGAGGCCATCCGGCCCAATATCTGCATCCGTTGCTAAAGAATTGGATATTTTGAGTAATCCCAATGCACACCCACCCCCTCCCACACACACACACACACACACACACAAATACCAGCGCATAAAAGATGCAATGAGATGAAGCAACGCAACAGTGCAGAAGTGATAAACTAATTAACTCAAAAGTCACCAAAATTAATTCTTTGTTCCAATTTTAAAGAAAAACAACGGAATATATCTACTCTTTTTCTTTTTTTATGTGATTTTTCTTTAGATCTATTTTAACGTTTATATAATTATGACTGATCTTTTTTGAATCACGTATTTCCTAAAATACCGACTCGGGTTGAAGTCACAGAGAAAATCAGCACTTCTTCAGAAATGTATTAGTAAAATATCAGTTCTGTATCAGCTTCCGCGAAAAAACCGCAAAATGTAACAGTACTGATTCAGGTTTTTTTCTGACCAGAATAAGATCAGAGGTTTTATTCTGATAACTCTCTGATCAGAAAAAAAAATCAAAGGTTTTGTTCTGATATTTTTCTGACCATAAAAAATTCAGAAATTTTGATCTGTCAGAAAATTTCTAAGATCAGAAAAAAATAATGTTTACTTATTTTTACCAAAAATTGCCGTGTTTCCAGACAAGTTTAGTTGCTCAAGCTTTTAAATTACAATAGTTACCCAATTTACTTTTTTCGCTAAAAAATGCATTTTCAGGTTGTTTTTAGCTGACTTTTTGCTGCGGGGAAATGTTTCAATTTACAAAAAGAATTTTTTTTCCTATATATTAACCAAAAATTGTCGTGTTTCCAGGCAAATTTAGTAGTTGCTTAAGCTTTTCAATTACCAACGCTGACCAATTTCTATTTTTGCGAAAAAAGAAACCGAACTTTTACATTGTTTCTGACACAGCTTGAATTCTAAAGCTATTTTAAGGGTTTTTCTGTTTTGTAACGACACGTGACTAAACTTCGAAATCAAATCGAAATTTCGTAAATCATTTTCCAGTTATGTTTCAGAATAAAAACAGAATAAAACAGTGCTGTAACAGTATTGTTACAGTTCTAGAAGAGAACTGGCAAATTTTTTCCTGTTCAATCTCTTGGTCAGGTGAAAAACAGAGTAAAAATCTGATTTCACACTGATGCAGAACTGAACTTCGTTCTAGAACACCTGTTTTACTTAAACAGTACTGATAACTTCCGTGACTTCAACCCGGGGACTTCACGAGTTCAAATTAGGAAGATTCTCATCAGCGGCCTTTTTCGTATTAAGAGTTCAGAATTTATTAAAGCCAAATAGAAGTGAAGCTTGCTTATCTAAGTAATCGTTACAAGGCCAAAATTTGCATTAAATAAGCGCTCAATTAGGTGTCTGTAAGTCACTGGAATCCAGAGGAAGTCGTCAATTATGTTCAAAATGATCCGCTTACGAAATTTCCTCTGATTCCGCGCACAAATACCTGTAACGTAAGCTTTGCGGGCCCGAATTTATCGGCCGGTTGTTCTCGATCCGCAAATATGAGCGGATTCCGCAAACTGTAAACGGAATCCGCAAACTGTTAGCAGATTTTGCAAAATTGATTATGCTTAATTAAACGATGTAAGAGAATTTCGCAAACTTTGTCGGCTAGTTGTTCCGGATCCCGCAAATATGAGCGGATTTCGCAAATTGTAAGCAGAATCCGCAAAAATTAGCAGATTTTGCAAACTGTTATGCATTATTTAATGATGAAAGAGGATTCAGCAAACTTTGTTGGCTAGTTGTTCCGGATTCCGCAAATATAAGCGGATTTCGCAAATTATAAACAGAATCCGCAAAAATAAGCAGATTTTTCAAAACTGTTATGCATAGTTTAATGATGTCAGAGGATACCCGAAACTTTGTCGGCTAGTTGTTCCGGGTTACGCAAATCTGAGCGGATTCCGCGAATTGTAAACAGAATGCGGAAATGTTTTCAGATTTTGCAAAATTGTTTTGCATAATTTAATGATGTAAGAGGATTCCGCAAATTGTGAGACACAATTTTTTATGATTAATTTCATGAGCGTAACTTTTCCCTTACTTTCAATGTTGCTGAGATTTGCTGTTTTTTGCCCACAATTACTACCTGCGAGTATTTTCTGCTATTTTCTGGGGCTGAGAATTTTTGCTTCAACCTCCAGGCAGCGAGCACACATCATGGTGAGCGTCGTTGAACTCGTTGCTTGGGGGAGAGGCAACAACTCGCATTTCAGAAAACTATCAGAAAAAAAAGCGAGTTGTTTTTACTGGGAGGGAGGGGGCACAATAGCCGTTCTCTAATAGCTTGTATATTGGACCTTTCCTTCGTAGATGACATCATAATCAAGTTCGAGTTAATGTTTTTTTTTTATTTTGTGACAGTGCTGGATCTCTTTAGGCCCCCTTCCTCGTAAAATTAGAAATGATTAACCACCCCTATAACCCAGGTCGAGGTCTCTGACTCATTTCCAGACTTTCGCGACAAAATTGTAGCATATCCATGCTTTCCAGACCAAAATTAGGCATGTCCAGACTTTGGTGATCAGAACCTGGCATTTCCCGACTTTTGCGACCATGATGATCCGTCGCGACTATCGCGACCGAAGTGGAGGTGGCGCGACCAAAACATCGCGACTCATATTTGGTATGTCCAGACTCTCGCGACCAAGAGCTGCCATTTCCAGACTTTCGTGACCGAACGCGACCGAGGCGGATACGGCGCGACCCTGTGGCTCAGGAAAACTCGTGACCGGCGCGACCAAACTTAGCCATTTCTAGACTTTCCAGACCTTGATGGAGACGGCGCGACTTTCCAGACCAACATGGAGACGGCGCGACTTTAAAAAAGTATTTCAGGGCTTTCGCGACCGAGGTGAAGACGGCGCGACTTTCGCGACCAAGGTGGATACGACGCCACTCAGGAAAGGGCGCGACTCAAAAAGCAACAGCGCTTTCCTTCGTAGATTGGACCTTTCCTTTTGCAGCTGTGCTGCAGATTTTTTACCAGTGCTATTCAAGGTCACTGATATGGCCTATACTGAGTGCCACGCTGTGGATGGTCACTCTGTTGTTTTGCTACATCGTTTGCTAGAAGTTTATTTACTCTCTTCCTCAACTCTATATTCTCTTGGTCAAAGATTGACTAATAAATATTAAATTGGAACTAAGTATCTAAACAACTAATCTATCAATTTACTCTTACAGAGCAACTAAGTTTTTCCTCGTTATTTCTCGGCAAATGCCATGGCGCAGCCAGCAGTTCCTGTGAATGAAGACAAGACTGACCTGTTAGGTATTCCTCCCTTTTGGGCGAAACCATATGTCAATCCGCCGTTCCTTTGGGAATCTTGGATAGGTCAATTCTTCCTAGCAGTGGGTCTAAAGGACTATCAACCCTCAAGATCTTTTAGTGGAGCCCACGGAAATTATCGATGATCTCCCTCCGAAACCAGAGGCAGTGGGACATGCAGAAGAAGCTGGGGAGGCGAATGCTCGAGTCCTCCGAGATCAAGCGGCGGTTCGTAGAGTAACTGAATTGAATGTTGAGCGCAGAAGAAAAGGTCCTAGAATTAGCCAGAACTGGTTCTATCACGAAGCTGAAGCTCGTTTGAAGTCACGTTTGCTTTTTGCATTAGGAAACAAGGGAAAGAGACGTTTTACAGACTCTTATCCTCACACGGATATTAGTGTTACTCCTTTTCGAGATTTTCATTATGCTTGTGAGACGTTATTCACGGTGGAACGTGACTATACTGTCGAACGTATCAAGCTCAATAACACTATATTCATGTTGGACACTGACACTTTCTCTTCATTCTACGCTCGACTTAGCGCTCAGATTGCCCTGTGCAATTAGCCCAACCCTCAACAAAGGGAAACTTTGAAGGACCTTTTCATTGGAAGAATTCGTGATGTGGATGTCCAGCAACATTTAATTAAGGCAAAAGCGGATTTGGATGATACTTTTTAACTCGCACTGGAGTGTGAAGAGGGGGCTAGTACGTTCGCTCAGTCCCAAAAATTACTTCCACGCAATCAGTTTTCTAATACTATAAAGATTAAACAAGAACCCATTTTCTCAATTCAGTCGTCTCGAGGAAAACGTAATTATCCTCAAAATCAAACCAATCGACAAAACACGCAGAGCAACAAAGGCAACAAATCGTGCTATTTCTGTGGTAATCCTTTTAGTCCGGATCACAGAAAATCATGTCCAGCTCGCGAAGTTTATCTAGTACGTTCGATGAATTACAATCTAGTAAGAAAGGTGGTCACCTTGCCAAGAGTTGCAATTCATCAAAACGGCGTGTGAATTTGGTTCACGAAAACAAGGAGATGTCAGATCCCTCCATCTATTGTAATTTTATAGATGCGGATTATGATAGCGAACCGGAGTACGGTGTTTTGCAGTTAGAAAGTGCGGTCAGAATCAATAGTATCGAGCTTCCAAAATCAAACAAAGGGAAAACACGAAGTCTCAGTATTCAGTTGCGTACTGGTCATACTTTTTTCTGTTCAACCGTTGACACGAGGAGTCCGGTCTCTTTCCTTAACAAACGCACTTGTGATCTATTACTTCAACGTAGCCCGTCTATCAAATTCCGTGACACCACATGATACCCTACAGATACTTTGTATGTTGATTATAATTAAAAACCGATTCATCTTCTTGGGTCAATTCGCATTCCGATCTCTTCTAGCGGCTGGAACGTGGAAGAGGCTCATTTCCTCGTCTCCGAGAATAGAACCCGAAATCTTCAGCGCTTAGACTTGCAAGATCAACTAGGTGTGGTGACTACCCAATTAAGGACGGAGTCCGTCCATCTGCTGGAGGATAAATCTCAGGACCCGATTTCTGAATTTTGGGGTTCATTCTTTGCCAGTAAATAGGCACACGTGTTTCGTCGGTTAGGGAGATCCAAGAACCACAAAGTATATACAAACTTTGAATTCCCTTTGAAGTTCCAACTCATATCCAGGACAGAGTTGCTAACGAGATCAAGCTGTTAGTGGAACAAGGTCACATCGA